CTGGCTCTTTGACGGAGGCCAGCACGACTCTGCTGAGTTCCTGCAGCAAGTGTTTCGGAATCTCTCTGCATCAAGATTTGGACAGTGGGAAACTAGAGCCTCAGTACCGGAAGGCGTGATAGTGGACGAAGAAGGGGGCTCTCCCATTCATCTTGCCACGGCGATCAAGACCAACTTACAGGACATGCTAGTGGCATGGTCGTCTCAGGAGCGCTCATGTGCTCTCATAGAAGCTGCACAGCAGGTGTGCTTAGCCTTGCCGAGATTCGCAGGTGAAGCTAAGGATCACACTCGCATCACAATCCCACAGCAAGTCCAGATCCCTGTCTTCCTGGACCACACATCCCGAGTTTCGTTCTGTACCTACACAGTAGAGGCAGTGATCATTCACCTAGGAATGGAGTCCACTAGTGGCCATTACCGTGCAGCTGTACGTACAGCAGATGCCTGGTATGTTGGTGATGACTCCCACCCCCCTAGTCCCTGTACCCTCGAAGATCCCCTGCTTCAAGAAAATAGCTACGTCATCTTCCTAGCTCGCAGCGCCGTCTCTCACGAGCCCCAGGACGTAGCTAATCTCCCGAGTAATGTCTCTGCAAGAGCTCTTCCAGCGAGCCTTGCGGAGATGCTCCCTTAGGAGGAGACTCTCCCCAACAATCGGAGGAGTTTCTCCCCTTGCCATGTGTTTACAGCTGGTGGAGTTTCTCCCCAGGGGTTTTTAAACAGTAGGAGAACATCAGGTGGAGCTTCTCCCCTCGGGTGGAGTCACTCCCCCTCCTCGTCCTTCCAAAAAGAGAAGCACTGGGCAAAGCGACGGTGGAGATACTCCCCCTGCAGCAAAGGCCAAGAGTGGAGATCCTCCCTCAGGGGACCCCTCTCCACAACAGGCCACCGATGCCGCATAAGACTCTGAAGACACATTCGTGCCAGAGTCTGCAGCTCGAGTCACTGAAGACACGTCCGATTCCGACTTCATTGCTTGCAGCCTTGAGGGGCGGAGCGTGTGCGAGTGCTGTGTTAAGGCACGGCTCGTCATGAAGTGACCGCGCAAGTAGCAAGCAGAGCAGCAGGTCGATCCCTCGCAAAGCGTGGACGTTAAGTTTCACCTCAGACAGTATCCTCCCGCTGCGTGTGAATGAAATGCTGTTGCTGTTGATGCTGCTACTGCTGCTGTTGCTGTTTCTGCTGTTGGTGTTTCTGCTGTTGGTGTTGCTGTTGGTGTTGCTGTTGCTGTTGCTGCTGTTGTTGCTGTTGCCGTGGTCCTGTTGCTGCTGTTGGTGTTGTTGTTGTCCTTGTTTGGCAGTCCCCGGTCCGGGATAGCCCGGTCCCGGTCCCGGTATTCCGGTTCCGGGTTCTCGGGTTCCGGTTCCGGGTGTTCCGGGGCCGGGTGCCGGGTGACTGGTGACGAGAAAAGCGGTATTATGAAAGATTAATGCCGTATCCAATACTTTATCTTACTCAAGCAAGCTCCAGATGTGTTTTCTGCGGATGCCCACCTGGGTCTGTTCTGTGGATTTTAGGCGTCCTGTTCAGCCTTTCGCAGTAGCTTCAAACAGTTACGTCCCCCACCATCTGGTATGGAACGAGACCAGATGGAATCTAACACGCGCAGCATCAGGGTATTCGGCTTCACAATAGTCCGCTGCCGCTGATATATGATTTTCGCAGCAGTTGCAGCCTGCCGGTGTCAAGCAGATTTTCATCACCATAAACAGTCATCCTGAAATGTCGAATCCCAACCTGAGACCCTGAGCAGCGACTTGGAGGTGCGTGAGGTGCGGTGGAAAACGTGGGATTGTTTTACAGATGCGAAGCTTCAGGAAGCATGCAAACATCCCTGTTTTCTGGAGACGACTTCCCCTCAACCCGAGCTCCAGTGTTGCAGCGCATGGAGGGAGACGACCGACACGGTCTGATTTCGCTTCTGTGGGTTCCGCTGTCTTGTCGGGTGTTGCTGAAACGAGTCTGGCTGGGGGGTGCCTGCACGAAGTTAAAGGACCAGATTGACTTGTCTTTACGTCAGGAATACTCACTTCAGATCGGAATTGGTGCTACATGTGCAGCCCCAAGGTTCTAGAGTCTCCGCAGGGTCTTTCGGGAAGAAGGAAAGCTTTGGTGTTCAGAATGTAGCAATGTAGGAGTTGGACTCCAGAGCTTAGGGTGTGTGCCAGGCCAGGTCGTGCACCACACGCAATGGACTCCCACTCCCTGTTGAATTCGTTGTTTGAGATGCGGGTGAGCAGTGAGTGGATTTGGTCGGCTTTGCTAGTTACTAGTTCCGGTACAGGGATCGAACCTGTTGTAGTTGTGGGTTTTGTTCTCCATGTTGCTCGTGCAAGCACTGCCTGCAGCACTGCATGCCGGGATTTAACCGACATGTACGGGCAACAGCGCACGTGCCAGGAAATGCGCGACAGCGTCAAGGTCTTGAATGCCCTGGAGACAGCTGTTCAGGTGAACTGGCATTTTCACGAGCTACTTGTAACACCTATCGTCAAAACGACATATTGCAGACTGCACGCTCCAGACGGTGTTCGGCCTTTAACTCTTCAGCGATCGCTTTCAAGAGCTCGATCTGCCATTCGTCCTTTTCGGCCTCTTCTTTGCTGACCTTGGGTCTCTGCATCCAGGCCATGCTGAGAACCACGCGGCTGTCAGAGTGCGGACAGGGTGCCGAGAGCTGCAGCTGCGCGCCACAAGAGATCGCCAGAGCAAGCCTCTTCCTGGGCAGTCGTGGCCGTGAGAAGTTCCTTTAAGGGACCTTAAAGGGGATCTATAGGGTTTAGGGTCTAGGGGTTTAGGTTAGGAAGTATCCCTGGCTAACGGTCAAGAAGTCTCGGGGCAGAGCTGCAGGCTTGCTCACTAGTCACCAGCGGAATGGGACTCGCCAGATGAAGGCCTCGGTCTTGCCTTTACTTTCATCAACAGCGAATCTGAGTCTGGTGGTACCAGTGGCACAGGAGCCGACTGGAAACTGCTTTGACAGCTCTGACTGCTTGCTTCAGCCAAACCGTAATTGCTGCACTTGAGGGCGGAAGCCGCGATGCCGAGGATCTGACAAGATTGACAACACTGACACTGTGAAATGAAAAAGACTCGGTGATTCTCGCAGAAAGCTAAAGTTGGGCTACGAAAACTGCAAGTTCCTGAGTCCTTCAACTGGCCCTAGGCATGCGAAGGGTTGCACTCTGAGCGCCTGAATCCTCCAACCCCTAAAAGCTCCTCGAAGCGTCTTTCGTGACTCAAGATATCGACTGTAGTGGACGCTGCAGAGGGATCCTTCACAAAAAACAACGGAAAGCTCTTCAGAGGCATACTGGTAGTCAGGTGAGGCAGCAGAAAGCACAGGCAAGAAAAGGCATCCAAATGCCAGTCACTTGGATGCAACGTTTTCAAGCCGCGACTGCAGCAGAAACCCTGTGCAATGTCCTGCTGCGTTGTAAAAGGGGAAGATCACCACAAGCCAATTCGCTGCCCGGAGTAAAGGATCAGTCTTGGAAGCTTCAGCCACGTTCCTGCACGGTTTGGGGCTTAGGATTCTCGATCAGGCTTTCGTGTACATCCTGCAAACACACTCATGGCGTGGGGCTGCCCAGGCGACCAAGCAGGCTTCGTGAGGTGCAGGGCAGGATGTGGGTGATACTTGAGCAGGGCATCACGACTGGTGCTGCCAAGATGGGCATACGATCGTCGTCCAATCTAGGTATCCCTGATTTCACCGAATGCTTTTGAGGAAGTCCCGCTTCAACTGACAACCCTGCCTAAATCCTTCAATGCTTCGCTTCAGAAGCCCCATGGCTCTCTGGCATCCGTTTTGGCGGCGATCTTTGCGCCTTTATGAGAATCTAGTTTGGGACAGCGTTCTTGTTTTGGCATTGCATCCTAAATCCCAAGCCCAAGCTCGAGCAGCTGAGCAGGAAAGCCGTTCTTTCATGTCCGGGCGCAGGATGCCAATAGAAACTGGAACGTTGCTGAATTGCTTGCACCACGACTGGTACAGCATCATAACATACGCCCGTGCTAACATGTCCGTTCGGGGCTCCCGGCCAAGTCTTCGGCACTGTGCTTCAGAACCGGCTGAGTGGTGTACGTGTTTAGCCTGTGGTAGGAAAGGGCTGGCGAGCTCTGCCACCATTGTGCCAAACATGCTCGGTCAGATTTTGCGAAGTGGATTGATTCAGGGAGAGGCCCCTGATCGAAGCCCAGACTAGACTTGAATTCTGCGGGCCTGTCCACAACGAAGCCGCGCGCTTCGAGTCCCTTGCATCGGCTTGGTGCAGTCACGAATAGGTGGGGGCCAGTAGACTGTCGGATTGTGGACCAACTACACAGCAGCCGCAGGACACTGCAGTCTAGAAGTCGGCGATGCTTCACACAACTTTGGCAACAGTGGGCAGACTATCTCAGCTGGAGACTTCCTTCTTTCTGCGAAGCGGCTGATGGACTTTTCGGGAGCCGTGCTGGTGCCGGTTTTCGAGCACATCACGACCCTGCCGCTCGACGGTTCATTAACACTGACTTGGAGAGACTTCTGGGCTCCTTGCAAGTCTGAGCATCAGGGATCACACGATGCATCGGAACCGAATGCAGTAGATGCAGCAAACACTGCTGTAAGCAAGAAAGTTTGTCCGCTGCGCCACGCCGCCATCGGAAGCAGCGAGAAGACTTCGCCCGCAGACACGACAGATCTTGTTCGAAGGATGCTATGATCCCCTTGCAGACCCGTGTGGTAATTCAGAGTACTCAAAAGAATACAGGGACCGAAAAGGGCCGGCAACGAAAGCACGTGGGTGGTGCGAAGTTGAAATGCTTAAGCTGCCCTTCGAAGCGGCCCTTCATGCTCGGAGGCTGCTGATGCTGATGCTGCAATAAGCAAAAACATAAACTGCAAATGACGGTGACGGCGTGCTTCATTTCCAGAACTTTGTCTTTTCTCTTCCCTTCGAACAAGAGACATTTCGCAACCATGTGAAGAGCCCAAAAACAAAGTGTCCGCTAAGCTAAGCTCCCTTCGCTGCTCGCAGCGAGGCTTGTATCTCAGCAACGGCGTCCTGACGCAAAGGCTACACATTAGCGCAAGCAGTGGTGTGTCATTTCTTGGCTGAGGGCACCTTTTACCCAATTTTTGGCTCTTCCTGACAATGGAGAGCCCAACTAGCTGTCCAGTTGGAACGAACATTCACGATTGCTGCAACCTTCAAGCAGGCCTTCAGCTAGTCTTTTGTGCAAGATAAGACCCGGAAGGTTGGACGTACTCCTTCTTTTTTCATACTATAGCATCATGTAGCCATAGACAGCACAATCCATGTGATACACACAGACGAAAGAGGAAACCCAGCAACTCAACATCTCAAGAACGGCTCGCCAGTAAATCCAGAAAGCTGTCCACGATCGGCCTTCAGGGCAGCTGGACTGTCTTTGGTCCACTGAAACTGCCAAGCCTGCAACGGACAGGTAGAAAGAATTGGGAGTAAGGGAATAGGACTATGGCTAATGGTGCAGCCCAGGTTTTGCGTCTTGCTTCTGGGCTCTCCTGCAAGAATTCTCTCGCCCAAATCTGAAAGTTCAGCCCGTGCGGACAAAATCCCTTGCAATTCAAGGCGGCGTTCCAAGTGCTTCCGCACTCAGCCCACACCGCGGTTCAAGATCATTTCAATAACCCGAGCACAGAAACAACCTTGGGGGATGTCTGCTGATCTAGTTCTCTAGCTCATGGACAAAAAAACTGAACGCTCCCCAGTATCGAAACCTCCGAACCTCAAAGGCTAAGGTTTTCGCCCCGGTACCCAACTGTCAGGCGACGTCAAGCGAGGTGAAAGCGGCGTAAGACTTAACGAAATAACTCAAACATCGGAAGTGCAATGCGTCCTCAATCCGAAGATGCCAGCCCAAGGCCCAAAGAGAGTCATGCGAAGCCGTGAAGTTCTCAACTCAATACCGCGGAGCACAAAACCCTTGAACCCTGCAACCTCTCACACCCTTAAAGGCCCTTTGCAAGCCCTTCCGATAGTTTCGGACCACGCTTGAGGTTTCATCTTGCGGTTCCTCCTCAACTCCACCGTCAACGACTTCAAAGGCAGTTCAGCCCCTTCCCAAACCGCTGTAAACGCCCCTGTCAAGCCTGAGATCCCGAAACCTGTCAATGCCCCAAGTTTATCCGTTCTCCCCCAAAAACAGCCGCCCAAGCGCCTTCCCCTCGGAGGTCTCCCGAAAACCCAGGCCCCGCCTTCTGAACGGGAGATTTGGAGTTTGGGGTTTGGGACACTGAAGTCTGGAGTCCTCTTTTTCAGGTAGACCATGCTTCTGCAGTGGTAAACGACGAAGACTTGCTTGTCTTCTGTTCCTAACACGGCCGCCAACAGTATCCAGTATCCAACCTCAAGGATTACGGTATCCTGGCCACTCAACACCCCTTGGGCCGTCGCATTGCCGGACCAGCCACATCCAATGCACCGAGGGCCTCTTGAAAACTAGAGGGTTTGCGTGGTAGACGTTTAGCAAAAGCATCTGCAGCACCGGCATCAAAGCAAAAAGCACGAGCTTGGCATGAACCCTGTACAGGTAATGCTCCATGCGCAGTGAGTGCTATGACAGCGACTACTATGGCAGGGAATCGGCACTCAACAACATTGTGTCGTCTCGCTTTCGAAGCACAAATCGCCATGAGGCAGCAGGCACAGGACACATGCCATGCTCCCACCTCGGAGAACACCGCGTTTCCCTTCCAGATCAGCATGTACCTCGCTTCCGATGCCACCCTTCTCGCGGAAGACTCGCCGAAAGCGTCTGGCTGAGGAAATGGCTTTGGATCCTGCGGGTGCTCTATCAAATTCTGCGCCTCAGATCCCAGCCGACAAAGGCCTCTCTTTGACAAGACGAAGACAGAGCCGTGCATGGAACGAGCTCGTGGCCACGCGGAGCAGGACACCCAGAGCCCGCCGGCGACGAGCCTTCAGGTCTTGGGGCCGAGTAGTCTTCGAAAGCGCAGGCCACAACTTACCGACCCGTGCTGTCATGCGAGGATGCTGTTCTTGCTTCTCTCTTCCTTGTTGGGTCCCGCACTGGGGGATCCATTTCAGCTAGCGCATCCAGAGCTGAGCCCAACCTTTTCAGGAACATTGCTCGAGCACTGGGAACAAAAGAGAGGCCAGGGCTTTGCAAACGAGGAAGCCTGCTGTCTGCTGGTACATCAGGTAACCACTTACGTTCCCCCGGCCTGGCTTGGACCATTGGGCTCGCTGTGGCAGTGGCGGTGGAGCGGAGAAGCCTGCCACAACGAAAGATCCCTCACGAATCCTGGATTTTACGAATATTTAGCTTGCTCGACTCTTGCCAAAGAAGACGCCAGGGGCACGGACGCGCAGCAGACATGATGGGTCCTGCACCCGCCACTGAACTTTCTCAGATAAACAGACATCATGTGGGCATGGGACACTGACGGCATCTCACCTGCTCTACCACACAGGCATGGGCACCACAAAAGGACGATGCATCAGACCAACATGCGCCGCACATAGTCCCCGACGGTCCTGCCCTGGGCAAACCTGCCACGAGAGACTCCTCAGAGCAGGTCAAGTTCGCACACTTCCCACAGAAAAAACCCTCAGCTGTACAGTCTTCTCTGGACTACTCTCTGGTGGCCTCTGCCAAGCGCTGGTGCTGTGCCAGCACCGCTGCGCTGCTCAAGGCAGCCAAGGTCCAGACCTGTGCAAAGTCTCCCTGCCTCAACCCAAGCGGACTTGTAGAATGTAGTTGTGAAGGCCGTGGCTTAGGAATGACATCTATGCATGCTCAACCCTAGACACGTTCTCGTGCTTGGTTCGTTGGGTTTTGCCACGAGGCCCGCGCCAGGAAAAGGGTCACTGGCGAATCCAACACTCGGCAGACCTGCACTTCAACATGCTGCGAAAATGGGCATGTCGGGTCTACAGAGAGGAGGGAGAGAGAGAGAGAGAGAGAGATGCTTAAATGTACATACATACATGCATACGTATGCATGCATGCATAGACATATGTACCTATGCATCAGACAGGATTAGTGGGGTGTAGTTTTCGACGCATCCAGGCATCGGATGCTTCAAAACAGCTTACAACAATGCTTTACAGAGTATCACGACGGTCTTGTGTCCACTAGGATTGGTATCAGTATCACTGTATGTTCTTGATTTGTTGATTCTTGGTCTTGGTGAGAGGGCAAGCCCGGTGTTTCGAAACCAAGGGGTTGCTCTCTTGTTTTGTTGCACATTGTATGCTGCCGACCTTCTACAACCTTGTCAATGGTGAAACGGTTTACCTGTTAGGTGAAATGGTTTCTGGGGGGCACACTAATTGTTGAAATTCAAAGGATATATATATATATATACATACACACACATACATAGCACAAACATGTGCGAGTAAATGTGTCGAAAAGGATTTTGGACTGATGTTTTGTCTTCACTTACATGCTTCAGCGACACACCTTCAATAGTAGGAGAAAATCCATCTCACAACAGCCCCAATCCTATGCATATGTAGGTACATATCTGCATATCATGCATATTTAAACGTATAATTATGTACATAGCATACAGAAAGAAAAACCGCGCGTGTGTGTGTGTGTGTGTGTGTGCGTGTGTGTATATATACATACATACATACATACATACATACATACATACATACATACATACATACATACATACATACATATATATATATATATAGACACATGACAACATGTATGCGTTATATATATATATATATATATATACATATATATATATATATATATGGATATAGCTATAGGGCTCGAATCGCTCCCACAAGCGGGAGAATATTGTAGCCCCAGACAGCATAGTCTGTCGTCGACATCCTTTGCGCCATCGGTATCCACCCGGGATCCCCTTCGTGGCACCGGCGTCGCAGACAGCGTCGCTCTACAGCGCGACACCGTCTTCGGACGGGACAGCGGTTGTCCAAAGCCCAACAAAGACGCTTGGAGCGGCACCACACGGCGCCGCATATGGGAAAGCAAGGATGGCGTGGACAGCCGTCCGAGTGGGATTCCAAGCATTCTTCCTACAGCTTGTGGCGTGGGGCGTACTCACCGAAGATGCAGCCTCCCTGGAAGGATCATGGAACAGGCAAAAACAAGGACAAGACCAGTGCGATCCCGGGCTATACCACGCGGAAGACAGGAGCGGAAGAGGACAAAGTGGCACTTGCAGCGGCGCCTGCAGGTACGACACCATCGGGTATGAGTACCAAACCGATACAGAACGCCTTGAACGCGGTACGCAAGACGGAGGTCAAAGTGAGCAAGCTCAACAAAGACAGAGCAATGAGCGTAAGGCAGTGGACCCAATGGGAAGAGGACATGAAGAAAGCGTGGCTACGAGAAAAGGCCAAACATGCGAAAGACCTGGAGAAACTGGACCAGGAGATTGCGGAGGCCATTGCACAGCAGGAGATCGCAAGGGACCGGTTCTGTACTGTGGTGGCCAACGAAGGCCGGGTCACGGAAGAAGCCTCGACTGCAGACGAAGAGTGGAACCACCTTACGTCGGAGTGGGATCGCGAGGCTACGCCAGATTGGGATGCCATGGTACAAAAGGCCAAGGACTATCAGGATGCCAAGCTACACAGCACGCCTCAACGACGGACGCAGCAACCGAACCCTGCCCCGACTGTGGGTGCTACGGCACCGACAGCCCCACCGCCTACGACGTCCAATGCAGGGCACCCGGTCGCTGGGGCTCCACCTGGTTTGCCCACTGGTGGAGACCCTGGATCTGCTTATGCGGCAGCGTCCATGGCAGCCTTGAACCCGGTCCAGGTGGCCCAATACCTACAGCTTTTCGCGGCAGGATTTCCACCCTCGGCAGCACATCTCCGCCTCCGGGGCACACGGGGGATCAGGCAAGGCCGAAGACCCCAAAAGTGGATGGGGTGAATCGACAGGACATCAAGTCGGCTTCCAAGCAGAGGCCCCAACTGGAGATCCCGAGCGGTCCCTCCCTTGCCGACAAGCTCTCCGACCGCAGGGCCCAGTACTCGGCGTTGCACCCCTTCGGCCTGCAGGAGACCACGGTCAAGGGGAAGGGAGACACGAGCTCGGGCCAACTTGGTCAGATTCCGGGCTCCTTGGATGTGATGGAGGTAGAACAAGAGACGCACGGCCCAGAGCAATCGGCCCCTCCGGAGCATCTGCCAGCGAGTCCTGGCATACATCGCATGGAATAGCACTTACCTGCTGGAGGTGGCCTGGTTTCCTGTGTGTCATTTGTGTGGGTCGATACGCCCTGGACAGCCCGGAGTGCTCCAGGACGGGGGAGTTGCTGTGGTTGCATCCTCTCTCGTCCTGGGCACTACAGTCGCTGGTCGGGTGCGTTGAAGGCCACCACGCCGGATACACAGCAGACAGGCTGCCAGCCCCTGAGTGTGGACAGACACTAGGCAATGTACAGTCTGTACAGTATGCTTCCTCTCTTTCTGATGGCTACTTTGCGGACTGCGGCCCTAGTTCGTCCATCCCTCTGTCTGGGCACGACGTGCTTCTGGCTTCTTCCAGTTCTTCTCTGTCGCTTGCTCCGTCTTCCTCGGCTGTCTGGGACTCTCCCTTGGAGAATACCAGAGTATGCCCCCGCCACGAACCGCCACACCGGCGGTCTCCTCTCCCATTGGCAGCACAAGAGGTCAACAGGCAATACAGGTCTGATTCCGTATGCAGGGGCCTAAGTAGTACATCGGTGGCGCTGGGGTACTCTCCTGCATTTTGGATAGCTGGCCATGAGTGCCTGTACCACGATGGCTGGGCGGTTGCTGGTTTTGTGTGTGCAGCGGCCGCCCTGACAGCGCTTGTGAGCGTTGCTGTTGCTTTGCTTGCCTGGGGTATTGGGTTCCAATACTTTCTTCAGGCATCCCTGTGTCGTATTGGATCCTTGCTCGCTGCTTCAGAGGTCGCCCCACGTGAGTCCAGGCTGATAGGTGTGTACTGGCAATGCATTGGAGGGCTTCTTGCCTGTGGCACATTTCTCCTCCTGTACTCCTCGACCGTCCTCCCCGTGGGTCCAAATGTTCTTGGGGAAGGGGCCTGGATTGATTTTGCCGGTGAGCTGGTTGGCTCCATAGGTCTGCCATTACGGGCTCACCTCCTTCAACAGTTGGTCATGCTTCTGATTTCTCGCGGTGGTTACAAATCCTCGAGAAAATGCAGGTGCTTTGGAGGTCGCCTTGGCCCTGAACATCTCTTTCTGTGCCGTGGCCTTGCATCTGCCCCCTGTGTCTCCAGCTGTGTGTGGTGTTGGAGTACCAGAGCCCAGGGCCGCTGCCGGGCCAGAGATGGCAGCACAGGCCCCTCATGGACAGCTGCCACAGAGACCTTTCGCACGATATGGAACCCACACACCTCAGTTCTTGAGCTCTGTCGAAGGATCAAGGTATCCTGTTGCTTGGTGCCTGACCCCTTCGTTGATGCGGTACCCCATACTGAGGCCGAGGTTGGCCCTGACCAGACGTGCATGTGGTGTACTGGTGCATATTCTGACGTCGCTCTCTTCTCGAGCAGCCAGACAACCACCCCTGCTTCCCTCGTCAGTGTCCCCCAGAAAATTCCTCATCGTGTTGCTGCTGATGCAACAGTGCCGCCGCCTGTGTGTGAATACAAACTCAATCAGGAGCCAGTGTCGCACACGCTTGCGCAAAGGGAAGCCCTCGAAAATCTGCGTGAATACTACCAGAACACAGGCCGGCCGTGGCCTACGGTTCCGGCGGAGGATGTACTGCAAAACACCTGGGTTGCCCTTGCTGAAGAAGTTGATCAGGCCATAGGTACCCCCTTCGTCGCTGGACTAATGGCAATCGGATACGATACTGAACTCGTTTCGGTGCAACTCCAGGCTCCGGCGAGTGTTGCAGAGCTAGCCGAACAAATAATGGAGCATCGTGATCCGGTACATGCTAGGCTGTTTCCGCTCATCTTTGCAGTGCACCCACAACCCACGGATGCATATGGGCTCTTCTGTGTCCTACCCGGATGGGCAGCCAATGAAAGTTTTGCCTGCTTCGACCTCACTGACATTGATGGCCGCTTGTTCATGGAGTCTGTTCCAGTGGTTGCATCCAAGGCCGTGCTCCTACGAATTGCAGTCGCACCAGCCAACGTAGATGTCGATATTTATGTGGGAGATAGTGAAAGGCCACTGACCTCAGATGAGGAGATAGACATCCTTCCGGGAGTATGCCTGTCCTTCATACCACAAGGTGATCTGCCCGGACCATACTTCCACCTCGAGGACACCCTCGGTTCTGCACATACCTGGGATCCTGCACCTGACTTCCCGAGGGGTCCTGACCTCCCTTGGTTATGTGTAGTACATGACGGCGGGCACCAGTGCATTTCCTTTCCCTCCACAGAGGAGCTTGCTGACCGTAGTCTGATAGCTGCGGCCTTTCGACTTGATCCGGCAACTCTCCTGCTGCAACCTGCGCACCCGCAGTATCGGGATGTTTCGCTCCAAGGCCGACACTGCCAGGGTGTCTTCATTGTTTCGGCGCCTGAAGACCCTTACACAAGCACCCCTATAAGCGATCTCCTCCTTGCGGTTGTCGACTGTAGGGCGATGCTGCAGGGTTGGTTTGCGGTCCTTCATCCTGACGGGACCGTTCCCTGCGTAGAAGTAGAGGAGATTTTGTCGACCTTTGCCCCAACGGGCTGGTGCCTGCATATCGAATGTTTTCCGAGGGAGGGCCAGAACTTCGTGCTTCAACAGGGTCAGGCCGGCTACGCTTCTTTCGTTCCCATGCCAGAGATACAGACTGCGGCCGAGATTGCCACCCCTGCAAGGGAACAGGCAGAGAGTGACATCGGGACGGATGATGCCGTGGTCGTCCTTCCAGAGGGAGCA